GCTGATCTCTTTCAACACAAGAAAAAGCTGTGCCAATTTCTGACATCATTTAGCTTTTCAGATGATCAGAAACGCGAAGCTACCGCAAAGTCACTTGTGCAGCTAACACAGAGTGCATTCTCGTAGCGATTGCTACAACTGCACCATGTTTGTTAGGAAAGTAGCTTTTAGAAATGTATCAATGTTCTAAAATGTGTGACTCAATATTTAAAACACAGAGTGATTGGCGCACAGTATGCAAAAAACATATTGAATTTCACTCTAAGTGAAAAATGAAAGGATCTAGAAGTTAAATAACATTAGCATCTTCCCCTAGGCCTTATCACACTAGCATGTACAATTTAGCCCATAACATTGAACATGCATTAACAGCCAGACTCTGAATATCAAAACCGTGTTAGCAGTTAGTGCTACCACTATGCTAAATTGGTATTAGCATTGCAATTACAGTAAAACGAACAATGTTGTCCTTTTAGACGCCTAATAATATCCAACTATTCAATGCATCACATTGAAAGAATAGGCCTTCACCAAAGCATGTTGACAAAGCTAGTAGCTACAGCGAAATACATTTACAATTCAAGTCAATTAACTTAAATATGTATTGTGATAATGTCCCACACAGCTAGTTGGTTACAACAATCTACAGTGATGTCACAGGGATTTCAGGCAGCAGGTAGTTGAAGGTTAAGTACCTAAATTCACTTGTTAATCCATTTGCTATGGCTACAACTGCCTCGTGGAACAACAAAGATTTATTTTCTGTTTGTTTAATATAGGAATGCATCTTTGTCTATCACACTTTGCTTCTGTAGATCTCCCATCTGACTTTATTGTGAGCTTGTGTTTTCAAAAAGTATAATTGAGCATGTTTTATGAGACTGAACAGTCTCATGGGGTATTGGACTCTCTTAAAAACCCAGGTAGGTGCAGAATAGGTTTCTCAAAAATAAAGCAAACAGGAAAGCAGTACTATGCATGACTAAAAATTATATGTACACGTTGATTAATACCTACTTAACTTGTACTTGGGACAGGACTACAAAGTACAGATGGGATATTCCTGATCATAATCAAACTTATATAAATGTGCACCAACATTAGTTATCAGTGTTCTCTATTCTCAATTTAAAAGAATACACTGACAATAAAGAAGTCTTATAACATATTTTGCTTGTGTCTTTGGAAGGCCTTCAGTGTTTGTTTTATTATTTATCAACTAGTTACATTGTCATTTTGTAAATTAAGAAAATAAAATCCAAAGAATTAAACAATTATAATTGCAATGTAAATAGTTTGCACCCCATTTTTTTACTTTTAAATTAATCTTTATGGTGTGGCCAGTGGCGGCCGGTCCATAGGGGCGCTAGGGGCGCCGCCCCACCTCTTCCCATATTGAAAAAAATAAAAATAAATAATAATTAAAATTAAAATAAAAAAAAATATATATGTTTAAAAAAATATATATGTTTTTATTTTTATTTTTAATGAACAAGGTAAATATTATATAATTGGTATCAGTAAAATGTATAATCTACAATAAAATCTCGTTTAAAATTGTGTTACGATGTCTAAAGTTACTGATAAGTCACATGTTTCCTGCCTGGCCTTGCCCATGCACCTTCTCTCGTCTGGGCGCTAAGAGAGGAGCCTTCAACCAGTGCAGCAGCAGCCACCAGCAGCTGACTGTTGCTATCTGTAACGTGTAAACTATGCCGCGAAAATATAATTTCAGCCAATCAGCGTCGTCAAAGATGACGGTCACCGGGCGCCAATGTCAGCGCCCAGTGCAGTCTGTGAGTAGTTTGGACAGTGACTCGTATCCGGTTGACGCAGTAGTTGATGAGGATGGCTTCGTGTGCAGGTGGAGTCTCCGGACCTCGGTCCGCGCCTAATTCTGTTCAAGAGCTAATCTCCAATCCTTTCGAAAGGAGAAGTTTGGCAGATAAATTGTTGCTTAAAGACCTTGCACCGGACCAACCCGATTTGAATATATCGCAGCAATCTCGTGAAAAAGACAAAATGTATACACGAGGCTTCACAAGTAGCTGGTACACAAGAAAGGCTTGGCTAGCTGGATGCAAACAGGTAAATGCTGTCTTTTGTTTCCCATGCTTGGATATCACTTTATATGTAGAGAGGAGGTTTCCCATGGTTGTTAGAAGTTTATTAATAAGTGGGCATTTATCACAGAAGTGATTGTTCTGTCTCCACGTTTGTTGCATTGTCTGTGATGTATTTTCCAACGGTTATAGCTCCTGTTCTGTCCCAGCAACACTACACGGTTTGCAGCTCCACCACATTTTTGGTTTATCTTCGGTGTCGCTTAAAATCTGCTTCCCATCGGACTAAAACCTCCACGTAATCTGAAGACAGATACTTGAAGTTATTTAAACCTTTTGCAAACTTTATGTTCTTTCTTGCTCTAGCCTTGCCAGTTACATTGTACATAACACATATATTATCATTATGCTAACTGGTTGTTCGTGTTAGACGATGTAGCTTTTTCATTTCTGAGTTATTGCTATATGTAAATAAGCCTGTTTGTAAATAATCCTCAGAGAAACAAAGAAAAAACACAATTTATGACATTTTGTGCTGTGGTTATTTTTTTTAAATTGCATTTATTCACAGTTCAGTTTGAAATGCTGTAGTGACTTGTATTGAACCACTTAAATATTTATAATTAATGCTACTGAAAAGATGCTATTAATTTTATATCTCACATGCAGTTCACTGTAAAGCTACTTGGTGAAGGTGTTGGTTCATAAAACATGAACAGTTTTAAGAAAGAAAAAAACAGACCAGTTCTGAGAACACAAATTCCTGGTAAAGTAGTAGATGTTCAGGTTGATAAATAATATTTTCCACACTGAAGATTATGGAGGTATTGATCAGTCTTCTCATATTTTTAAGCCTCGATTTCTCCTTTCCCCCCCCCTCTAACATCACCAGAAGTCATCATTTAAGGGGTCATTTCTCGGAAAAAAATTCCGGGGGGAAACCCCCCGGACCCCCGGGTAGGTCACTTACGGTACGTCAAGAGCCCCACCAAAAAAAAAGACCACCGGCCGCCACTGGGTGTGGCGTTTCCAATTCTTAAAATAATACAAGGATTGGATGTTCATCAAAGGATTTTCAGGGCAATCGATTTGCAGCCAATCAGAGACGAGACTTCTGCTGCACTTACCCATCATGCACTGAGGCACTGATACTACAGAGACCACTCAGTTAGCACGCAGGAGATGAAGAGCACTACACGTGGCGCACCCAGAGGAGAGGAATCAGCACTTTCAGAGGTAACGGTAAAAACTATTTATCAACGGATTCAAAACACTCAAGACTTAAAACATTGCAAACGTCAAAGTCCTAGCTATGGTATACATTTTGTTTAACGACCGAAAACAAAGTAATGTTAGCTAACCTTACCATAGCTAGGTAGCAGCTAGCTAGCTATGGTAGCAGCTAGCTACCATGCTTTGAAATTGAGCTGTTCTATGCCGTCATTATGCAGGGTGTTAATTTTTAATTTTTTAATGGTGCTCGAGTGGCTGAGCTGATGTGCAGTGAATGTTTCAGAGTTACTTTTTCGCAATATTATTTAATAAATAGTTTAGCTAGCTAACTAGCATACATTGTCACTAACTCCTAATGTTAGCTCAATCCTTAGTTTTATAATCGATTTTTTTGTGGGCATAATGTTACACACAATGCACATTATCCATATCTTTTAAATCCTATGTTAAGGCTATAATCAGAGGTGGGAGAAGTTCTCTGATCTTGTACTTGAATAAGAGTAGAAGTACTCAGGTCTTATACTTGAAGTGGCAGAGTTCGCGTTAGAATATCTTTTTGCCGGTCAACATGTCCGTTAAAGTTTAAATCTTCCGGACAAAATGAGAAAAGTGCCGGTCAAAGGTCTTATTTATTGAGCTTTTAAACAAATTGATATGATTCGATATTAAACAAACTAATTCTAGTAGATTAACTACATTATTCAAAAGTGTACAGTAATTTATAACACGGGAATAATAAACGGAGCGCTCTCTCTCCCTCTCCTGACAGCCCGTCAGTATCATGCAGCTCGCGGAATCAGTAATGAGCAACCCAGTAAACATCATTATAACTAGTTTAGGTAGTTTGAGAGGTAATTAAAATAGCTACGTGATATTCTAACCTGAAGTGTGTGTTTTGTTCCGCTCACCGCTGCAGATGATCATGCAGAGCTGGGTGTCGACTCGTCAGCAGCAGCTGATCTCTTGCTCCGGTCAGATTAGACTTCACTCGCGTTTATGTCCATATCGATCAGATCTAGCTGGTTCTAGCTAATGATATGACTACCTGCTTATTAAAACAATAAGCGTTGATATGCAACCGGGTGAGGCCGCAAAGTATAGCGCAGCATTATGCATTTGTTTACATGCCCACCGGAACCCCGAGGCATTGCCAACAGATCAACGCACAATCAACCCATACAGGACACTCTTTCTCCACATTAAATGTTAGACATTAGAATTGACTATTCTTGTCTGTCACATAAGTGGCGCAACTGATGCGGTATTGTTCAAAAGGGAAATTATTTTGACCGGAGAGATTTCGATTTGCCGGTCTTCAGCATATTTTACCGGTCATAACGGGAACTCTGAGTGGTATTACTGTACTTAAAGCTGCTGCTGTGTTATTTAAGTTATTTTTGCTTAAGCATGTGCAAACTTGTGTCTCTTTTTTTCCCTCAGCTGTTACTGTAGCTGCAGTACCAGTAATTGCAACCTACCAAGAATAAACAGCAGCCAGAGATCCTCAAGTAAGATTTCTTGCCATATTACAAGTGTTATCAATTCTCAATGTCCTATATGGTATTGCTATGCAAACAGTGAAAGGATATGGAAATCATCAAGAGGTGGCTAAAATATGTTTTTCTGCTGACCCTCTCCAGAGCAGTACATTGCTTTGCTTCCAGGTGGTTGCTCCTGTCTGCATCTCTAAGCTCGGGGCATCCCGGCCATCAGTGGCGGACTGGCCATCGGGACGTTCGGGACGAATCCCGATGGGCCGGTCGGGCCACTCGGCCCACTTCGGTACCGGCAGGGGCGGACTGACCATCTGTAGAATCACCGAACGGCCGGGTCGGTTTGCTGTTTTTAAACGGCATCATTGAAGTTAAGCTGACAGGCGACAGAGGTCCACCGTTTCCCAGTCCGCCCCTGCCGGCCATCATCTACTCTAGGTAATACACTGACTATGGATAAGTACCTTTATAAAACCCCACTTTAAACACCCAAACTATCCCTTTATGATGTGACATTTTCTACACTGTTAACATTAGGAAACACTTAAGAAAGAAAAGAAAGCTGCAGGAGCTGATCATTCCTAAAATACAATTGGCCATGTGATCACCAGTAAAAAAAACAAAACAATCTGCACTAAATATTTTTTGGATTTATAAATGTTTTGTGACTTTTTCCTGTTGTGTACCTTAAGGGAGTTCTCCCCTGACAGCTGGACACTACATGATAGCAGAGGACCAGACCATCGTCAGTGGCAGTGTCCTGAATGTTGTCGACGCCCTGATGCTGATGTTTGCAGCATATTACTGCCTCAACATCAGTTATCGCTCAGAACTGGGAGCTACCCTGGAGTTCTTGCAGAGGTAAGACTTGAATTGTAATTATTAAGTAATTCCATCTTAAACCACAGAGTAGAGGATTGTGCACATTTCTGACACACGATAAGTGCTCCTGACTATACAAGATAATCGAGATAAAAAGATTATTGTGCTGCATTCTGTTTCGCATTATGCTCTCGTTTTGTCTTGGGTTGTAAATTCAGCGTACCCCTTTCCTTTGCAGTGGTGTGCTTTGGCTCCTCCCTAAAAGCTCAAACTCACTCTTAGCCAATCGGTGGTATGTTTACTTCAGCTCAATGAAAATGACGGAAAGAGGGCCCTTTGTCGACAACAAAAGAAAACCTGGTATTATTGTAGTGAACAAACACATTAAAACTTCTTTCGGTTAACTACGATGCTTTTACACCGCTCACTCTGCTACTGACACGCACCTCATCTGCCCCAGTTACACACAAACCTCTCAAGATGGGACTCGTAGCTACCACATTCAAATGATCTTCAAGTGACCGCTTGCTCCTGTTTACAGACCTGCTGCGATACTGTCCAGTGTGATATGATAGTGATGCCAAGTGACGACTTTATATAACAAAATCTATTCAAACCAATGCTTTAAATGCACAGATATGATCATAACAGTTAATGAAAAGTACATTTAAGAGTAGCATTACCCTTTGACTTCAAGCTGTATCATCCACAGAATGTGTAATTAAACACTAAATGTAAGTGTACTTCTGTCTTAACAGGTGCCTATTCAAGATCAATCCGGACAATGGGACTAGAGTGGAGAGGAAGGAATACAAACAAAAACAGCACTCGATAAAGATAAAGGTGTATTCATTAATTACAAACGTCGCTGACTTTGAATGGAGAGAGTTGAAACACACACAGTCATGTACACATGCACGCACATAACTGGTAGATTTCTTTAGTGTTTATAATTGTTATCTTTTGAACAAAATGTTGGCTATTGTTAAATGTTGAAATGTTTCATTGCCGGTCTATTCTGCTTTATTATTACTTAAAATATATTTTATTTATTGTTTTTATTTTTGTGATGTATATTATTTTCAATAATATATTGTATATATTTGTGATTTTTTTTCTACAAAACATCGGACAGTTAATGTAAACTTGGGCTTTTGCAAGGTAAAATGACATGTTTACTTTGTGTTTTACATGTAAATGGTCTTAGATTTCATGAAGTTTGCTGACGACACGACAGTCATCGGCCTGATCACCGACGGTGACGAGACGGCGTACAGAGAGGAGGTCGAAAACCTGACATCTTGGTGCCAGGATAACAACCTCCATCTCAACGTCAGCAAAACAAAGGAGCTGCTTGTGGACTACAGGAAGCAGCAGAGAAAGGGACACGCCCCCATCGCCATCAATGGGACTACGGTGGAGAGAGTCAGCAGCTACAGGTTCCTCGGGGTCCACATCACTGAGGACCTGACATGGACTCATCACTGAGCACCTGACATGGACTCATCACTGAGGACCTGACATGGACTCATCACACTAACACCATCACCAAAACAGCGGCTCTTTAAAAACAAAATTGTATTAGTCAATTTATTGAACATGTTAGAAACAAAACAAACAATAATATTTATCGTATTTTAGCTTAAAAACGTTTCTGGTCCTACCCCAGGCCCCCAGGTTTTCAAATGACAACAGTAATCTTCTTTTTTTCAGCTTTTTTTGATCATTTAAAAAAATATTTATTCAGTTTTTCTAGAGGTGTATAACTCTATTCTAACAATTAATATATGTTAAAAGAAAAAGATTTCCTGTAAAATTACAGATTTTTTTTGGCAAAAAATGTGATAGTTAATGTAAACTAAGGCTTTTGCAAAGTAAAATGACATTCTTTTCTTTGTGTTTTAATGGTAAATGGTCTTAAATACACGGTACTTTTTTGTAATAATAAAAGTAATTTTATGTATTTTAGCTTTTTTTTATCATTTTTTAAAGATAATTATTCCGTTTTCTAGAGGTTTATGACTCTATTCTAACAAATAATATATGTTAAAATAAAAAAGATTTCATGTAAAATTACAGTAATAGAGGCTACTTGTGGTAAGGTAAGTAACTTTTTTTTTTTACATGTTATCTCCGTATTTTATTTTACAGTTTTTTTTTCCTTTTTTTAAAGGACATTTTCTGGCGCCCCCGTCGCCAGAAGATTTCCGTTTTTTTTACAAAAAAATGTTTTACAGTGCACCCAAATGACCCCAGAAGTATATTTTTTGTGCTAAATCTCTAAAAAGGTCAAATTTCACTTGTTTTGCATCAATCTTGATACAGGGTACTTATTATATGTTATAGTTTGGATTCCTAAAGCTTTTAGTATACTATCCCATCATTCAAGGGTGGTTTTCACTATAAGTAATGTTTTTTTTTGGACGGACACAATAATTTACATTTTTTTACTATGTTCAATCTGAATTTACTTTAAAATAAAAAAATCTATATTGATTCTGACTCTTCTACATCCAACTCACAGGTTTATCATTGCTTTGAGAAAAAAGATTATTAATTTACCCCTTTTAGAAGTGAAGATATAGTCATTTGTTCTGGGAATGTCATTTTCGAGCCTGTTACCTGGAAAACAGGCTCAGGGCTTAACAGGTTAACACAATTATTCATTCAGATCTTTTTCCAATTTTGAAATTCACTTAATCATATGCAGTGATTAACAACCATCCCACTCGCAGACCTTTGAGAGTATCAGGACAATAAATTGTGAGTACATAGGCATTCAAGGAAGGAAATAGGTGAGAAAAAACAGATGAACAGTGTTACAAAATTAGGGATTTAATGCAAAGCATTCAAAGATATATAAAAATGTAAAGCTGATTTATATGAAAGCTGCAAATGTCAGTGCATATTTGGGGAGAGGAGAAGAGAAGGACAAGGAAGACAGTAATACATTGAGCCTCTAGTTTGCACCAGGCATCTCAAGCCATAATGGGAATTATGCTTATTCAATGCCCCGCAGTAGTTTAAAAACGTCCTTTGCCTTATAGAGTGGTGCAGGAATGAGTCCAAAAAACCCAGAAATAACTTTGCTTCAGGTTGTCGTTTCGAAGTCAACTTTTATTGGGTGTGTTTTTGGATAGATTCCTAAAATAAGGTATAAGGTTAACACAAGCTTAGGACATTTTTATAACATTTGTCAGTGAAAACACAAACTGCAGTCAGAAGATTCTATATATCATAAAAACAGCGGTTACTAACAAGTGACTAAATGAGACTACTAACGGACACAAGTCCGCCTTTGGCTTAACGTGGTGATACACAGCCATTCGACCTTGATGTAGTTCCTTTATAGCCTAAAGTCAGCTTTTTACTGGTGATTGCATTTATGCTTCAAAAATCATAAAGTGGTGTAAACATGTTGAGATTATCCTGCTGAACAAAACATGTAAGTATCATAAAGTTGTATTTACTTACATTTTCATTGCTTTTTGTCAAGTGAGCCCTTGCTATGCTAACTTCTGGGCCGGCCTACAAAAATGTCATCACCGCACCACTCTGTTTGTAAAACTCTGAAGTATGGATATTTTTACCCTGGACACCCATCTTCCCAAGAAGTATGAGTTTATACATAATAAAGTAATGTACAAGTCAGATGAAGAGAAAGAGATCAGAAGAAAGACCTCAAACAAAGAACCCGGAGATGTCAGAAAGACGATGATGCAAATTGGGGAAAAGGCATTCTGGGAAAACCACAAGTGTGTGTGTGTGTGTGCGCGCCAAGCAGTGAGTGCTTCCTTTATTATTGATCGGCTATAGTTAGAGAAGGAGATTGAAAGCGACAAGTACAATTTCCACACAGACAGAAGACACGCACAGGTTGCACAATATGAAAGTGCATGAATAATTTGTGTGTGTGTGTGTTTGATTCTGTTCATGGAAGCCTCCCACATTACATGTCCCCATTATTTTGTTTAAACATGTTCTTGCAGACGCATGAACCAATTACCAGACATGCACACTCACACACAGGCGACACGGGAATATCAGTGTTGACAAAATCCAGTTGCATCTGTGTCTCCTTGTCACTTCAAACTTATGTAGTGTTGCGTAACATTCTTTGCATCTATGTATATAACTGTGTAAATACACACCTTTCAAATATCTCTGCCAATTAAACCAATTTCATTATGCTTTATGATCATTGTGTTTAACTAATTAAGTATTGTAGCTTGGTAGGATAAGTGCTGATATGCGTGTTTCGAGCAAATTGAATGTGAATATTGAATGTATTGCATACAGCAGGGCTATTCAATTAGTTTGGAATGGGGGCCGGTTGATGAAAATGATCCAAAGCAAGGGGCCGGGAAAAAGATGGCTTGAAATATGAGCAATCATATTTAAGAGCTTCAGATACAGTAAATACTACAACAGCATAGTGGAGTGCATATATTGTGTTTAATTCAATCAAACAACATAGCCCCAAGGCCTTTATAGATCTAAATGGCAAGTTCAGAACTCAGTAGGCCTACATGTTTCATTTGATTTCATTTAGGTGAAATGATCTAATCATTCACGCAGAGATGCAATCAATGACAGGAGTTGTCACTACAGTATAGTAGGTGGGTTCGAAACCCGAGCCCGTCGAAGTTTTCAGGCATTGTCTACCCCTCTATCTCTCAATGTAACACCCTCTCTGGAATAAAGGCACTATGGCACAAAAAAAAAAAAAATCTTAAAAAAAAAAATTGATGACTTTTTAACATTATACTCAAAGGGCCAGTAAATATCACCCCGGGGCCGGATTTGGCCCGCGGGCCGCCAATTGAATAGCCCTGGCATACAGTATGTAACTTCAGAAAGTTATAAGATGTTGACAGTAGAATGTAGAGTGCATGTATGCTTCGTCAGTCTGAGAGCTGTTTGCGTGCTTTGTATGCATGCGACTGTTAAGGGCTTTTAAAAGCATTATGAGATGGGAATCATTTTAGTCAGTTCTAATTAAACTCAAAAGGAGTGTGGTTTTGTAGGAACATTAGTTCAAAGAGATTTTAAAAAAGAAAGTAAGAAAAGAGAAAATGATGGTCCCCAAAGTACCCTGCTTTTAAAAAAGTGCTTTGAAAAAGGTTGCTTTGTACTCAAGGCACAGTCCAGTTGTTCAACTTCTAATCACTTTAAATTACAAAATCGTCTGAATCATCAAAAGAACATGCACCATTAACGAACATTCTGAATGTCTCTATTTATCCATCATAAATCATTAGTTTTGTTGGGTACTGTCTTTGAAACGGAAGGGAAAAACGAGTCACTGAGATACTGCTGCTTCCTCTTTATCTTGACTTTGGTTTCCTTTATTTCTTCAGCATTTGGTGATCTAATGTTTGTGTTGTTTCTTAATAGTTGATAGTGGATACATTGGACTTGTCCGGTCTTTATCGGCCCAGGTATATCCAAATATTTGTGTCTGTGTTTGGGAGTTACAAATTCAAGTAAAACGTCTAAATGCCAGTTCTACACAGACCATACTGTATCTCATAATAATTGTTTCATTTCCAACAATGAAAAGGTTTGAAGGTATTGGAATTAAAGAAAAATTTGAAATCAAGAGGTAATTTCTCAGTCTGTGTCTTGAAAGGAACAAATTCAGCCCAGTGTGCATAACAGAAATGTGTTTAAACTTTGTGAAAGCCCAAAATCCAAAATGGCTACCATCTGCAAATTAGACAGTATTTCAATCCAGAGGGACTCTTTTTTTGCTTAAAGAACATTTACTGACACAAGCGGCATATTATATAAATGTTAATAGTCTTTGGCGATTAGACAAACCCCCCCCGGGTTCAAACACTGGTGGTGATGCTGAAAATCTGGATTTGATGATGAGAGGGGATTGAGGGGAGGTGTGATGAGGTCTTTGGATCAGCTCTCCTGGGCACTGGACATGATAAAGGAGGTGGGGAGGCGAGCCGCAGCATAAACCACCTGAAATCACAGCTGACTGCAGGAGAGAGGAGAACGATTTTAAAGTTTGACTGCAGCACGATGATTGGCTGCTGGAAATTGTGGTGAAATGTGATTGGTTAAAAGAGAACGCCCATAATGAGCCTATTATATACAGCTGTGGAGTGAATGGATGTACACCGGGGGCCGTTCTCATTTCATCAAATCCCCCTCCTCGACTCCTCGGTCCTCCGGTAGTGACCCGGAAATGAATTTTAGCGCGCCATGTTGAAGGACATCT